ATGTGCTGAAAGATTAGGTGTGCCGCGCGGCTCTGGGATGCTAAGGCAAGCGCTGCAGGCCGTCGCGTTTCTCAGCGAGGAGAAGATCGCAGGCAAAGTGGAGTATCTGAAGAATACGTTCAGGTGGTCTGATGCTCAAGTGAGCATTGCTGTCTGTAAGGCTCCGAATCTGCTGACGAAGTCGAAGGAATCTCTGAAGCGCAGGTCTGAGTTCCTCTTCTTTGAGGTGGGGTTGGAACCGGCGTACGTTGCTCATCGTCCGGTGTTGCTCTCTTACAGCATGGAGGGCCGTCTTAGACCCAGGTACTATGTTATCAAGTTCCTTAAGGCAAATGGATTGTTAGGTCAGTACCGGGACTACTATAGCATAGTCATGCCGAGTGAGAAGATATTTGTGGAGAAGTTCATATGCCCTCACAAGGAAGCTGCACCACTCCTTGCTGAGGACTATGCAACAGCTTGCAAAGGGGAGGTGCCAACTAATTTCAGATTTACATGAACAGAAGGGGGCTATGGAAATTGATTACAATGTATGGTGCAACAAAGTTATCACCTTGCATGTAACCTATTAGTACTTCCTGTTTCGATGTTCTTTTCCTAAGATGATGTTGGTTGTTTTCTGTAGTACGCCTGTTGCTAAATGCTAACTCCCTATGAAACTGATAATTTGATTCCTGAACCCCTATTTGTTGATGTTGTCATTCCTTAGAGAAGATCTCTGTAAATGAGAAGGCCATGGCTATATATGTGATTCCGACTTCCATTGAAGATCATAGAAATTGGATGTGTGGGTCGACCAATCTTTTGATGAAACCAGAAAGCAAAAGAGTAATGCTGTGTCAGTTTCCACCGAAATGTATCAGTATGATCTACTTTCATGCCAAACTTTATCTGTGTGGTCTAGTTTAGGAAGTGATCATCTGTGTGGTCTAGTTTAGGAAGTGATCATCTGTGTGGTCTAGTTTAGGAAGTGATCATCTGTGCGGTGACTCCAACCCATTCTATTGGCCGTCGGATACAGTGCGCCTCTGTCCTGTTGTGTCTGCACTCTGCAGAGCATCAGCAGATCTGGGCTGCTGCTGTTATTTTTTCCTGCTTAGTGACT